GTGTATGTTTACCTGGATGACATCTTAATCTTTTCTAAGGATCTGCAGTCCCATAGGAATCATGTAAGATCTGTTCTGTTGAGACTCTTGCAGAACAACCTTTTTGTCAAAGCAGAGAAGTGCGAGTTCCACCAGACAACAACCTCTTTTTTTGGGGTTCATCATTTCTCCTAATCAGGTTTCCATGGACATCACTAAGGTAACTGCTGTACGAGACTGGCCTACACCTCGAGACAGGAAACAGTTGCAAAGGTTCCTTGGGTTCTCTAACTTCTACCGCAAGTTTATCAGAAACTACAGTCAGGTAACTGCTCCTCTTCATGCCTTAACATCTATTAAAACAAAGTTTGTATGGAACGATCAAGCTGAGAGAGCCTTTGATAAGCTCAAGAAACTGTTTGTCTCTGCTCCTGTTCTTCGCTCCCCAGACCCCGACCGACAGTTTATTGTTGAAGTGGATTCTTCCAATACTGGCGTAGGGGCTGTCATTAGTCAACATTTTGGTGATAAGAAGGTTCATCCCTGTGCCTTTTTTTTCCAGAAGCCTGTCCAGTGCAGAGCGAAATTATGATGTTGGAGAACGAGAGCTTCTGGCAGTGAAGTTGGCTCTCGAAGAATGGAGACACTGGTTGGAAGGGGCCAAGGAACCCTTTGTGGTGTGGACTGACCACAAGAACTTGGAATACTTAAAGACAGCCAAGAGACTGAGTCCAAGACAGGCAAGGTGGGCGTTATTTTTCAGTCGTTTCATGTTTACCCTTTCTTACAGACCGGGGACTAAAAACGTCAAGCCTGACACTCTCTCCAAAATCCTGGAGCAGTCTGAAGAGGATGGGACCAGTAAGGGTGGTTTCATTCTGCCTGAGAAGGCTCAACTCTCAGTGACTCAACTAGAGGAGGATGTCAGAAGGTCCCATCACATTTACCCTCCTCCTCCTGAGTGTCCCTCTAAGCGCCTATTTGTCCCTGATCATCTAATTGAAAAGGTACTTGGTTTTTGCCATAAGATGCGCCTGTTTTGTCATCCTGGTGTCAATAAGACTCTGTCAGTAGTGAGGTCCCAGTTTGGTGGAAGGATTTGGTCAAAGATGTCAAGGAATTTGTGTCCTCATGCCGCCAGTGCTCTCAGGCGAAGACTTCCCGATGACCTCCGGCTGGTCTGCTGCGCCCCTCCCCATCCCACCCCGACCTTGGTCCCACCTCTCTATGGATTTTATTACCGGTTTGCCTCCCTCTAATGGTCACACTGTCATTTTCAACATTGTTGACAGGTTCTCTAAGATGGTTCATCTGGTTCCTCTAAAGAAGCTCCCGTCTGCCAAAGAAATGGGCGAGATCCTGATCCGTGAAGTGTTTCACCTTCATGGACTTCCATCTGACATTGTCTCTGACCGGGGTACCCAATTTATTTCTCAATTTTGGAGGGAGTTTTGCAATCTCTTGGGTATCTCTGTCAGTCTGTCTTCTGGTTTCCACCCACAGACAGACGGTCAATCTGAGAGGGCTAATCAGGAAGTTGAGACCAAACTTCGCCTATTGTGTGAGGACGACCCAGCCAAGTGGTCACTCAACCTCCCCTGG